TTACCTTGTAGGTACTACAGTTTCATTTCCTTAATGTCTAGTTCATCCTTGTCTGTACTTTATGGCTATTCACTAAATCTGAACTTTGGCACTGCAAACCAGTCTAAGGTAAACTTGATTTCTCTTTGCTGAAATGAGTGTCTGGGACACCACTTTTGTGATCTATAATGGAATCTTAAAAGTTCTAGGCTTGAGTTCCTGAGGAATTAACAGCAAGTGAATAATGATGGTTGGCTGGGGGTGTGGTCACTCTGTGGTGGGGTGAACTGTAACAGTTCAGTAAGGGTAAGTTCTTGTAGCAATGAGCTTCAGTTCATTAATGATTAACAAATGAATAAAGGACAAGGAGCAAAATCATATTTACAGAGAAACTGTGGTAGAACCACACTTAGGTGAAGAACAGGTATTTCCCTATCCTAATGAGCTAATTCAGATATTATAAAGGAGAGGAGGGCTTTTCTAAGGAAACCTGAGAAAAATGAGGGAAGAATTTAAGAATATCTCTGTGGCCAGTAGCAAAATTACAGGCGAATTTCCAAAAAGTTTTGAAATGGGTACATGTTCTGTTGAGCTGATACACTCCCATTGCAGTATGAATTTATGCTTGTGTCACACTGAGTAGCCACATGAGAGGCACCACTGTGATCAGATACTGCAGTCTCCATGGTGTAATTTTCCCTAGCTCACAAAATTCCCTTTCCCAAAAAAAATTCTTTTTCCATAGCTCACAAAATTGTTAATCTTTTCCCTTTATTCAAGTGTGAGTGACAGTTCAAAAAGCTGTGAAATCATCGACTCAAAGAGGGAAGTGTGCTTGAGAATCTTCAAAATATGGCTTGTCTGCTATAAAAAAAACTGAGGTTTTTAAACATCTATTTGTGGACCCTCATTTTTGGAAAAACACTACAAAAAAACCCAAACCTTTTTCTATGTGATTTCAGAGCATCGGTGTAATAGAGTCCCTTTTGGGTTTAGAAGTGAACCTGACAGCATTTTTCCATGATTGCATCATATGTTTCACTCACACTTTCACATCCTGCATTAAACCACATGCATGCACATCAACAAGACAAGATTGTAAAAGGAGTTTAACTGGGGAATTGTTTTCATGATATTTGATAGGAGTAATTGCGGCCACTGCTGTTTCAAAGCAACTGGGGTTATACTATACTATGTCAACAAAAGTCACTTTTGCCATATGGAAACCTAATTACTTCAGAACGATCTGTTAGAAAGCACTTTTGAAATAGTCAGGCCATTTATACAAATCAGTAAAAAGATTTGTGCATGAAACCTTTCTTAAATAAGAGCTTTCATGTGTTACAGGTTGAACATTATAGTGATTGTTTTGGAAATATTAAAAAAGGTACACTTCTAGGTAAAAGGTGTTAGGGAAATTTATTAGGTGATAAGAAAATAGGAGTATTTCCCTATGATTTTTGTGATAAACCTGATCGTGCTGTTCTTGCATGGAGAGGGTTTTTTTACTGTTCAACAAGACCCTGATATTGTGAGAAATGGGATGAAATATAGAATGTTACATTTTAGTGAGCTCATGTGATGCCAAGGGTATTTATCTCTGTAGCATTTGTTCCATAACATGACTTAAAGCCTTTTTTTTTTTATTCCCACCCCCCCACTTCAATGATGTATTTTTTTTCCTTTCTGTATTCCAGGACATGCCTTGTTTTGCATTTGGGTGTTTGTCACATCTGAGTTCTTTAGGGCACCTAAAGACATTCATGTGTTTTAGATGGTTTATTTGCTGACTCTAACTGCATTAATTTCTGATACATAAACCATCTGTTCTGAATGGCTTTTCTTGAAAGTATTTCTATATTCAGTCATTACAATCTACCTACATCAGAAGACATAAAATATTTAGAACCAAATTTATTTACATTATTAGCCCTAAGGAGCAGCAGTGACCCAGGGGAAAAACTAGAGTATTCCTGCCAGACATTGCAACACCTTCCCAACAGCCCCTCAAAGAAAGGCAAGGCAGGTTCTCCTGGCTGCCTCCTCGCTTCTAGCTGCTTTTGTACTGCTGAGGGCATCTGTGCCATGGAGCAGCTCCTGGTCTTCAGGACCAGTGCCACAGACTTGCTCATGCCCTGTGGGCTCAGGGCCAAGTAGAGCAGATTGGCTGTGCCCACAGTGTGCCCAAATCTCCTCTGACTGCCAGGTGGCAGCCACCAGCCATATACTACAATATTTCTTTTTTTGGCTGGAGCTGAAGAACTGAATAGGAGGAAAGAAACATGGTATGATTTCACCTGGAATGGCTCTCCAAGCTGTTCCTGGGGTTATAAACAGTTTTTGTCTTGGAGAGGTTTGTTAGCTTTCTGCAAAGGAGAACTTGTAGCTTTATCTCTTTTCCATGCTCTCTGAAGTAGCTTATGCACAAGTCTCCAAGTGCCAGGAATTCTCAAGCTGGCTTCTTGTCATCTTGTTCTTGTCACAGTACTGCGAATCCATTATACAGTCACCCAAAATGTGTGGTCTGTGTTGGGTGAAATAATTCAAAAAATTCCAAAGAGTATAGATTTATTAGGTACAATTTGTTTAGTCTCCTAGTCTCCTTAACTTGGTTCAACACCCATGTATCACTGCAGATACTCTAGTACAAGCAGAGGTATCATGGGAAAATAATTTAATTCCATTTGATTTTTTTTGTTTGTTTTAATGGTATTAAACCAATTTATAGCTACTGGTAATTTGGTTTTGTAAGAATATGATCAAGCATGTTGTTTGTACACAGTGCTATGAAACGGTATCTCTTTGAATCTGCTGACAAGATTGAGTTGACTGTCAGGTAGCTATGTACTTATGAAAGGATTGATTTCACTGAAAACACAGAATAGTTTCTGCCAGGACCAGGGATCCAAAATTCCTTAGTAGTCATGACCAACCTCACCTGGCACCCTAACCTGCACTCTCTGCCTATAGCCCAGGAGCTCCATTTGACTGCAGACCTGCTTCTTGCCTGAGCTATGCTGTAGACAGACCACCTCCACCCTTCCTGCTGGTTGGGCTTCATGGCTGGAGCCTCAGTTTCTGCTGTAGCCTTGAGTCCAGCCTTGTCTTCTGCTGTTTCTGACTTGTCTTTCTGGACAGACACTAGGCCTGACTTGTCACCTCATCTTGTCAGAGGGCTAAAGCTGGTGTGTCACCAGGACTGCCTTGCTGAGGTGCTGTGGGACTCTGGTGTTGCCAGTGAGGGCTGCCACCACCTTTGCTGGGGCCACCTTTGCCTCCTGCCTTATCTCCCCCCATGGAGCAGCCCAGCTCTCACTGCTCCCCACCTGTTTCATTTTGCTTCATGCTGCTGTCTGTTGACCATCCCTGTCCACACTGCTTGTTCCCCATCTGCCCTGAGGGAAGGAAGGTCAGCTTAGACCTTTGCTGCTGAAATTATTTTGAAGAAGGAACTTCTAAAGTTTTTTTGCAATGTTTTGTGTAAGATTTTAGTAGCCGATCATGGAACAAAAGGCTTGTTTTGACAGCTTTTCTCCAAATGCAGACTGGACTAGCTGACCTTCCTCCATCAGCCTGACAGAGAGTTTTGTGTGAGCCCTTTTTAATAGAATCAGGTGCCCTTTTAAGACTGTTAGACTTATCCAATTAAAATCTCCTGAGAAAGGATGCTGGGGGGAGGGAGAGGCAGAGATGGACAAATCCTGCATTATTTCCTCTAGAGGCTGTAAATCACAAGGGGAAATTCAATGTGTGAAGCAGTCTGTACTCTGTAATGAGAATTTGCCTCAGGTTCAGATACTCATTGTTTCTTTGAAGAAATTAGTGTGATGTGGAAAGGGTGCTAGTCTAGAAATCTGTCTAATGCTAGTAGCTTATTTTTTAATATTAAAAAAAAAAAGCCCTGGTCTGTGAAGAATGGAGCTTTCTTCCCCCTTTTGTCTTTTGCCCGATTCCTCAGAAGAATAGAGAGGGATTTAAAATAATGGCTTACAACATCCTTGTGCTCTGATCTGATAAGGCTGGTCCATATCTAGAGCCTTGGAAGAATTCGGGTTTCATTGTTTCTACTTCTGCTGGATTTATTGAATAGTCATGTATCCTTTCCTACTTTTTTCCCTCTTTCCTAATTCCAGGATGGTCCAGGAGGTAATGTGGTGTCTATGACACAAGGCTTACCTGGGTTTTTCTTTGAAATGTCATGTAAAACTGATCAGTGTTTTAAAATACAATATAGAAATGTATTCCTAGCTCTTCTTAAATAGTTTGAAACATAAACATCATTTTTGCAAAACAAGGAAATAATTGTAAAAATAGTGCAATTGGAATAAGAAAAATGAGGAATGAGAACTACATGGTGGTCTGAGGAATAACGGGTCTAAACATTTCTAAGGCATGTATTTGTCTAAAGCAATTTATAAGCTTCCATTGAAATCCTGATAGAATAAGTAGAGTGTTGCTTACCCCTGTAGCCATTCCATTTGCAATTTATTTGTTTTATCAGGTCTATAGAGGTGAGTAGCTCTGTGCATATAGAACGACAGAACCTGTTTGTTCCCTTTCCACTTTTCCAAGAAGTATTTTAGACTGTTGAAAGTGGAATTTTGGACATAGATAACTAGTAGAGACAGCATTTTCAATTTTTTACCTCTTAGCTTGCTTGCTATTGAGTAACTACTGACTCCAGAACAGAACCAAATATTTAATAAATAAACCTAAGTTCACTTAGGACCTAACACTAAATCCCCAAATGGTAATTGCTGATATTCCTAAGAAGTCGCTAATATTGATTCAGCCCTGAACTTCACGTCACATACCCTAACATGATGTTTTTGAAAAGACGTCGTGGTCTACAACTTCATGCTGTTCAATTCACTTTATTCTTTGCTTGGAATTCTTTCATGGACAAGGAAAAATATGTTCGTGGCAGTCACCTATCTATGCAAACCAACACAGTGATTTCATCAGTATGTAATTTGAGTATTATGGATCATTTATCTAAACAGAGAACTTCTGTTTTTCAGACCTTACCAGTGCGGAAGATTCCCTGCAAAGCAAATGCTCCTTCAGGGTCTTTTTTTGCACGGGACAACACAGCAAATTTCTTATCCTGGTGCAGAGATGTAGGGGTGGATGATACCTGCCTATTTGAGTCAGAAGGTTTGGGTATGTATTTGTTTATGTAGTAGCTGGTAATTTTAAATAACTTGTGTGTTTTGCCTTGAAAGGCAGAGTAGCTCTCTTAATAGATACTGCAAATCTGACCTGTATGTGACTCTGTTAATTCTACCCTTTATCTGTAGCATGATCAAATAAAGGACACATCATTAAAATTTCATTTAAATAAATTTTAAGAGGAACTTAAGTGAGACAAAAATCTTGCTATGGTTTCTTGCATGCAGATGATTTTTCACCCTACCTGCACTTTTTTTGATCACTTAATGCTGTTCCTTAGTTTGAGGTTTAAGATAGTGCTTTTCTGTTTTGGGTGAGTAGGACACGAGTGCATGCTCAGTTTGGCTACAGACATTTAGCTGTTCATGCAGATTCAATGGGTTGCTTACAAGGCAAGAAAATGTGAATTTTTTCTCTGATTTTTTTCAGTATTATACTGAACTTTTTTCCAGCTGATTCCCTTGTGCAGCTCTGGACAAGAATTATCCAATGGTAGTGCTTCAGGGTGTTCCATTGAAAGATTGGACTGCTTAGAAAATCACTGTTCTAACAATACACATTTTTTTTTCTCTTTTAACTCTTCTCTCTTCAAAGGAAAGCTCATGTATCTTACCTCAAGATTTTGTTTCAGCCAAACTTTATAAAATTAATAGAATCAAATGTTTGTTTGTCATTGGAACGCAGATAAAAGTGTAAAGTTGTTGTGATGATAGACTGCTCGGTTTGGCAAGATGAATGAACACACTGTACTGAATCAAGAGGCTTCTTTGTTCTGTTGTTCAAAAGGTTATTGACTGCCTAGCTGAAGTTCTTATCTGTGTTGCAACTGATCTATTCTATTCTTCTTCTACAGTCTTGCTCTTCCAGCACAACTATTTCTGAAGCTTTTTTTTCTTTTTTCATTTGTCTCTTCTTCTGTGAGGGTTTTAAAATTAAATCATTTTATATCTCCAGGAGAAGATGTGTGACAGAGAAGAAATAAGTATCATAAAGGTGACAGGTAGTGAAGAGGATATATGCATTGTCTCTGTTTTGTTCATTAAATCCTCAAAATGAAACTTTTATTGGACAAGGTAAATCATGTGGAAGGTGAACAATAATTGTTCTTCCAAATATTTGAAATGGTGGAGGAGTTGGATGTTGCCTAATACAAAGAAACTTGCAAACAAATGAAGGAAAAGGAGACATAGACCTCCACTGAGATAAGCAGAAGAACCTGTGGTTAAATTCAACACTTGAATGAATTTAGGCTTTGTACTCCTAGGGTAAACCCAGCAGTGTAGTATTGTTCCAATAATAGGTGAACTGTATAACTGAGAGTGTGTTTATAAGAAATTTTCTTCTACATTGTTAAGAAAACAGATCTTGTTTAGAGACAGAATCATCACAGCTGAGAAACTGATGTTCTGTGGATAAGTTCTTTTTGATATATACACTGTGCTTTACCTGCCACAGTATAACACTGGATGCAAAGGCACCTGGAAAGCTGACGCTCAGGATGTCTTGTCTCAGAAAATGAAGTGGGATATACCCAAATACACACTGCACAAACCAGATCTGGCTTGTGTTAGAATGGGCTGATCAATGACTGATTTTATTCATGGATGGAAAACTAGATTCTGTTGTTTTCATTCTCTGAGTGTTGCTGTTTATGGAATGCACATGTTGAAAAGACTTGAGGTGCTGGAAATAGGTTTAGGACTTCATAAAATTTTGACCCATTTTTCTGAACTTGAGAGTGGGACAGTGATCATGCCATTTCTAAAAAAAGGATAAATATAGAAGCTGCTATTCTCCCTTGGTTTGAGCTAGAACTCTTCCAAGTTTTGATTTCATTTGAGTTTTTTCTAATACATTAGAAATAAAGATGAATCCTAACGGTTGCCAATCTAAAGCTTTTAAGTTACCCTTTCTCCCACAAATCACTTCTTCACTACATAAGAAATAAAAATTCAGCAAAGGTAAGTAATAGCAAAGGTTCTAGTCAAAATAATGAGAAATGTGTTTGCACTGCCTCATGGATGTCTGCTGTATTTTTGATAATAAATAGTTGTGGTGAAGTGATCGTTACAGAGGTAACCGTTTTTTGTGTTTTCTTGTGTTTTTTTTTCCCCCATGGTTATTAAACTGTAATGATGCGTAAACTGCTAGTGATAAAGCAACTATTTTCTCTCTCTACTGTGGATATTACTATGTTAATATTCTTAATTGATTCAATTTTTAACCTCCTTTTTTAGTGTATTCTGCCTGTCTTATTATATTTAAATAATTAACTGTATTATTTAATTAGATGCACATAGTGATAGTTTCTTCATACCATTGTATCACACGAAACACTCCTGAGACTTTCTTCTACATTTCTATTCTAACACTGTAAGAGTAATTTTTAATATTTTTTGCAGTAAAACATTTGAATGATGGTTTTATGACACTATTGGTTTAAAAAAAAAGTCCCGAGTCTATTCACAGATCAACAAAATTAGTTATATATTAGTTAAGAAATTAATAGCTATTATTTCTCATTACTTAAAAGTATTGTTCTCATCCTGATGAGTTCTGAAGTCTTTGAAATCACACAGGTATAACTGCAGGCAGCTGCATCCAGCATTCCCACTTGCCTAGTGCTCAGACTGAAGTCATAGGAAGGTACATTCCTCAGGGGAATGGAAGTGAGTCAGACACCACAGCAGATAGGTGCAGCCTATGCCCGAGGACCTTTCAGGTGACTGATGTTAATGGGAGACTTCAGTCTTCCTAGAGACCTGGTTCTGCCAAGCATTAACATTCTAGGGCTCACCCAGACAAGCAGGTCTGCTGACGTGACTTTGTCCTTGTCCATCACTTGTGGACTGATTTAGTAGTTTATGTAATTATTTAAAGTCTAAGCATGGCTTGAAGTGCTTTCTTGGATTTGGGCTTTTCAGCTGAGCTAATCAAGGAAACAGGATCAAAGTCCTTCTTCAAAATAAACAGAAGGAAAGAAAAAGTGCTGTTATGATGGTAGATATGATTATGCCTTCCAGTCGAGTTACTTTAAGATCAATACAGAACTCAAAAGATTGAAAACAATGCAATTGTGCTACTAACTTGTAGTTAGTAGTCTATAACGTCGTGTATTTTGTCTTGCTGAATGTTACGGTGTTTTAACATTTTATTCCCAATTTCTTTGTATTTTAAACTGTTTTCTGTAAAGGTTAACAATACAGCCAGAGCTGACTGGTAGCAATCTAGGTGTCCTTGGCCCTTTGAACTTCTCTGAATGCAGAGACATAGCAGGAAAGGCAGGTGCTGTACTTTAGGAGCTGCAGGAAAGATGTTGGCATCTCTAACAACTACAGCAACACAGCATGAAGGGAGAATACTGCAAAACAGAGGGAGACTCTGCAAGCTCCCTGCACTCATCAACTAATTTACTGTGCTTTTCATAGGTATTTTTATAGTTGTATTTAAAGAAGAAGAAATGAGCTTTGTTAATATGAAAAACTATGATCCAAAGTCCAAACTTTCATCATCTGGGCAAACCTTGAGATACCCTGTCTTTGCATGGGGTTCTTATATGTATCAGAGGTCAAAATTTGTCCCATATCTAGGGCTTGGAACATGATGCTCTAACTCTTCGCGGTCTAAGGAAAGTAATACTGTCTGTAACTGCTCTGTTACCAAGGTATGCATATTTTGTAAGTTCTCCTTTGTAGATTGTAGGGCAGCAGATCCACAAAGCTATGGTAATTCAATTTATGGAAGCATTGTAGATGGAGATTCTTGTAATTATGGTGTTCAAGCACGAAGAGTGTAATACTTGAAGAAAGCTCTTGGCCAAATAGTAAGAACGGTAAGATTTTCTACAGTTGCTTTAGTTTAATAAATTTAAAGCATAAGCTGTGAGCTCTTTGTTGGTAACGAGGTATTGTTGGATGATTATAGGATTTGGAACCAATGAATATTCTGCACCTCTTCTATGATAAAGAGTCTACCCGACAAGAAAAGGGTTTGCCAGCAAGTGTGCCAGCATGCCCATGTGTGTTGTTTGTTTTGGGAGTGGTTGAATTATACTGTTGTATTAATGTTTTGTGCTTGTATGTTCTGTAACTGCGTGTGTACACATGATGTGTGACATGGACTTCTTTTGATGCAACTAACTGATTAAAGTTTAATGGACAGGCTCCCTAAACAAAAACATCTAGCGTTTCAGTGGGAATGACAGACTTAAAGCACAAACACCTTTGATCTCTATTCTAATGATGTTAATTTTAAGGGTGTTTTGGGTTTTTTTTAAAAAAAAACAAACCTCAAATCTTGATTGCTTAAAAATATTCTATGCATGGGGCAAATTACTTCTTTAATTAATACCCTATCTAATTTCATATTACAAGATGGAAGTATTTTGACCATTCTTTCACAGTGGAACATTTACAATTTGGAACAGCACGTTAAATTTTACATGCAATTGCATCAGAATAAGGCTTTGTCCTGTCTCTCACAATATTTTACTAAACAACTCATAGTTTTGTTGAATTTGTCTCATTTTGAGGACTATAGAAGCATTCTGGACACTGTGTTATTACCATTGGATTAACAACTTCATGTACCCACAGATGCAACAGAGGAACATGGGTGCAGGTGTTACATTTCAACCCGAGCTTGTAAACTGTCACTTCAGAATGAACTGCCCATAGTCTTCAAATTATATTAGTTATTACCCTGTAAATGTACAAATACATGTGTATAAAACTGTGTATGTTTGTAGCATAGCTAGCCATGAACTGCAGTACAGTCAGAATTTAAATGCAGATTTAAATTACAGTACAGTGAGAATTTAAATGTGACTTAGTAAGACTTCTACAGCTTTTCAGTGGCGAGCTGATTTTAAAAAAGTGATTTTGATGCTGTGTAGTACCTCTGAAATAGTCTTTGCCATCTCTTTTATTAGATGTCTTGAAGTGCTTTGAAAATACTGATTAACTTCTATAAAAAAAAATTAAGAACGGATGTGTAAGAAATGTATCTTTTTCTGTTCTCTAGATGGAAAAAAGCATAAAGGAGACCTTTTTTTTAAATGGCTTAGGAGCCAGCCTTTCAAAAGTGACTGTAAATATAAAGCTCTTTCAGTTATTGTGAAATAACACCAGACAAAAAGTATCTTAAAATTAGTATTCAGAAATCAAGGCACTTGAAAGTACTACTTACTCCAACAGGCAGTGGTCTTACTTGCTTGCTCAAGGCTATGCTGAATGTTTGGGACCAAGAGGGTGTGGAAATGCTGTCCTGTGTCTCTGGCTTATGCCGTAACTCCTGACCAGTCTCCTGTGAGGTGGTAGCCCAGTAAACAGCCATACTTTTGGATGAAAAGAAAATAATTTTGATTTGAGAATCTAAATTATTTCCAGTGGGTATTGCAGTATACCAAATAACCTTTGTGTCTGAAGCTGCTGAATACATGTGCTGGTATAGTCCTCAGGAATGCTAACATTTTCTTGTCAGAAGTGCTGTGTCACCGTCTTCTTATCAGATGACCAGATGTTTGTTTCTGTGGCTGGTTATTGCCTGCACAGCAAATTCATCCTCTAACAAAGATTTCACTGTGTCACGTTGTTCGATGTGAAATGCATGAAATGTGTCTAGATTGTGTTCAGTCAGATTTGCTAAAGGATTTTGAAATCTGTTTGAAATGACAGAAAAACATTTCACCTTTCTTAGTGGAATCATTTTCCAGTTCTGTTTATGGATCTTTTTAAAAAATAATATTACTTAAGCCTGTCTCTCCTGTCTTCCAAATTCATTCAGATGTGCGTAGGTGTGAACCACAATTCAGAAATTTTGGACTCCCTTTGACTATTCCACAACTGGTTTATTTCATTTATGTTTGAAGGGATGCCTTATTTCTTAAAATAAAGTTTTATTTTGGGGCAGTCCCAACTGGTTTGAAACCAGAGCAGCAGAATACATTTCTAGGTTCATGCTTTAGAAATACTGTTTACTAGCAAAGGTAAAGGTTTCATAAAATTACTGTGTTGTGGCAAAGCAAACTATGGAGAATAGCCGAAAGTCCAAGTCTGCATCTTTTATATTCTTAATAACAGATGGCTGAAGGATAAAAGTACTTTTCTTAGTGAGTCCCATTTTAGTTTTCATGCTCTGCAGTTTCATTCCTGGAAATATAGTTGGATGAGATTAGAAAGGAAAACTGTGTACATCTCAAAGTGCTACATGTACTCTAGTGAAAGATATTGGGCTAAGCATCCAACTCATGCAATGCACCATACGTTTATTCAGGTCACTGGAGCTGGAAGCTGAAGTTGCAGAAGCTGAAGAACTGTCCCAGGGCATTAGTTATTAAGAAATGTTTTAAGTCTGTGGATTCCTGTTCTAGGTCTCATACGTACAGTGTAGGATGAAGTAATGACTTTTAGAGCTTTAATTAGACATAAAATATCTTTTTCAGGTATGGTATTTTTTTCTTCATGCATTTGAGTGTAGGTGAGTCTTTAGATAACCAAAAAGTTTATACAGCAAATGTCTTGACCTTAACTCATTAAAACCACACAATTTTTGTTGCTTTTTTTTTTTCTGATTTATACAAATACTCACACAATTGTTTACTGATCTCAGTTCAATCTGAAGTATAAGGTACAAATCTTTTGATTATTGTGGAAATTTCTAAAACCTGAGTTTTATCCACAACATAAGTTTTTTTACTGCAGTAGGTGTTTCTAGAGAGAAGATGACAATGCACTCATAAGTCTTCTCCCCCCCTCCCCCCTTTATTCCTTTCTTCTTTTTGGACTTTTGGTGAGTTGATTATGCAAATGGCCATCATTAACTGATTTTAGATTTTGCTTAGATATTTTGCTGGACTTCTCTACAGAACATTAACTGAATGAGAGGGGGTTGGGGAGGATGGGGGAAGAGAATGATCTTGGATTATGGTTGGATTTCTTAATGAGAAGTTCATGTTGTGTTGTAGCTGGTTCTGAAGCTTAAAAACAGCAGGCTTTGTGTGGAATCCAGGCATGGAAGCTTGCATATATGTGTGTGTGTATATACAAAAGAAAATGTGGGGTTTTTTTATTTTTCCTATGATGAGCTGAATTCCTAAAGTATTCTAGTTTCATATTTGCTCTAACAGTAGATGTGTAACAAATTCAGGACCAAATTTATAATAGGATGTATCTTTGCTATTTCAGTCTTGTTATATTTGTAACTTCAATAGGTTGAGTAAAATAGTGATATAAAGGGTAGGAATTCTTAGTTTGTAGAAGGAAAGTATCATTTCAATATTCTGAATTACTTTTGACATTCTACTAGTTTTAGTGTTCAGACAAAGCTTTTGATTATTTTTAAATAGTTATGAACTGCTTGCAGGTTATCAAATGGTCCAAATAATTACTTAGTTTACAATTTAGAATGTAAACTAAATTTACATTTAGAATGATGTTTTCAAAGGAACTAAAGGATAACTAAATGGGAACTTCCTAAATTATCTGCATTCTGAGAACCACTCCTCAGTCCCATCCTTTTTATTGCAGTAAAACTCCACTGCAAGCCAAGGAAAACCAAGTTTTATCTGAGTCCAGAGTTACAGATGTTGATGATTAGGTTCCATTCATCATCAAAATCTTTAAAATAGGTTTTATTTCTAAATGTTTTCCATCTTTATTTTGCTTTTCCAGTTCTCCACAAGCAGCCAAGAGAAGTGTGCCTTTGTTTGCTGGAACTTGGAAGGATTGCAGCAAGGTGGGTGAAAATATTTAAAGAATGAAGAAATATTTACATTCTTGACAGCAGTAGCTGTTGAGAGACTCACCAAATCAGCACATCTCAAGCTAACTTCTATGCTCATTAGGTTCGAGGAGAATGCTTGTCTTCATGTAACTCAAGAATATCTTGTGGGCAGTAGTTAACAAATACAATGAAACCTCTGTATATCTGTTGGTTATCCTCATTTTAGGAGGGGAA